GAATTAAAGAACTTTAAAGCATGCTGATTGACCAAATAAATCTTTCAGTATAATTGGAAAAATCACAATTCGATCCTGAATTAAAGAACTTTAAAGCAGGAAGTTCACATCCGTTTCGATATATTTGTATAGTTTACCAGCGAAATGGGGATAAAACCGAAATTATAGAAAATGCTCGACTATTTTAAGCCAAGTACGAAATGTTACAATTCTTACCCACATTACTTTGGCATTTAAATATTTCCTTGATATGGTTTGCAATAGCGAAAATGCTCTTTTGGCGTGATAGTATGAAAGTACGGTTTGGCAGATGTAAATCAATAAGAAACGGAAAATTTAAAGAAAGCATTTTTTTACATTCTACTACTAAGTTGACGTCCAATGAAAAGTAATTTTTTTTACTTAATAAAAAAAAAGTGTTTTATGGAACAAAAATTTTATATTTTGAGTTATGTTTAATTTTTTTAACACGCTTTCTAAACTTTATCGAAAATAAAATATTTGCTAACTGCAGATTATATTGGCCAGCTATTTTATTTATTTATTTTTGGCCTTCTTCCAACGGAGTCAGCTCACCACTGTTTTAAAGAACAATAATTTTATATTGTTTTATTATTTTACTACGTATTTTTATACGCTGTTTTTTTTACAACCTTCTTTATCTTTAGCTGATGCAATTCAATCGAGTACACTGTTTCTTATTTCTATACATACATAATTCAGATCGTATTGTTATGTAATGTTGACGCAATAGCTGCATTTAATGTCAAAGGTAGGAAAAAAATTCTTTGTTTTTCTAAAAATCGTGAACTCAGTAAATTTTTGCGCTATTTTTAGTAAAAAATAAATAGCATGTGAAGAAAATCTTTGTGACTACTTTCAGTAAGAAACTGCGCATACGAGTTTTTTATGTTTTAAATTTTAATTTTTGTTATATTTTTATTTTGAAACCTAAAAATATATTGGGTATTTTTCACAGCTTCTCTTAAATGTTAACTAGCATTCGTTAAATTAACTATTTTTGGTCTGTTTTCAAGGATTAAAAAAACTATAGTTTCTTATTCCGGTTTGATCATTCAGATGTAATAGTATTTTCCTCATGAAAATGAAAGAGAATTTTCTTGGTTTTAGTTTACTTTAGTTGTCTATTTACGTAGCACTAGAGCAGCACAATGGGCTATTTTATTACCGTCGTTAACAGCCGACCCAATTTGTTTGAGTTAACGAATACTAATGTTCAACACCGTAGCCATGTAATTTTGTACCCAATCCAGAAGACAAGGGAACTCCTGGATCATGTATCGGAAGAAATTTGCCTTCGTGAAGGACTTTTTTGATGGAACTAGCCCGCAGTTGTGTTACATGGAGAGGAAAACCACGAAAACTTGCCATGGCAAAGGGACTATAATCAATGATCCATCTACCACATTTTACGACAGCACTGTGGTTGGTGAGAGCCTGGTGAATCGGCCAGGAATTCGAACCCGGTTCACCTAATTGGAAGGCGAATTACCTACCACGGCTCTGACCTCCTCATTCAAAGTAAAAATATTGCGGCCCAAAGAAAAATTTTTTGTAGAGATCCGAGCATGTCGAGCATTGAGAATAAACCTAAGCGTTTCAAATGACCGATTCCATAAATGTAATCTCAGAAGTTGTTATTCATCGGTTTGCATCAGTTAATGCCTTTATTGTGTTAATGCCATTATCATCAGTTAATGCCATTATCATCAGCTTAAATTGGCGTGGAGCATCTTCCTGCATCTTAATTGAAATTTTTCCGAATCGAAATTTTACAAACTAATTTTGGCACTGGCGTGCTACCAATACATATTCTCCCGAGCAGAGATAGCTCAGGGAATAGAGCGTTCGTTTTCCAATCAGGTGAACCGGGTTCGAATTTCAGCGAAGATACGAATTCCGCATCCGGCCACAGTGCAGACATAAAGTATCATCAGCGATAGATGGATCATGGGTTACAGTCCCTTTGCCGTCAATTTTATAAAAGGACGCTTTCGTGGTTTTCATCTTCATGTAACGCAAATGTGAGTTAGTTCCTTCAAAAAGTCCTCCACTAAGGCAAATGTCTCCCAATATGTGATCCAGGAGTTCCCTTGTCTTCTGGATTGAGTTCAAAATTACAAGGTTGCGGAGTTAAATATTAGTATTCGTGAACGCCAAAAAATTGGGTTGGCTGTTCAACGACGGTTATAAAATAAAACGTAAAATAAATTTTATCCATACACATCGGATTTTTTTCCTTTTTTTTGTTGCTTGAACAGTATTTTTCCTTTTTGATAGTAAAAACAAATATGATGAAAATTCTGCTTTTCACTTTCCATGTTTTAAACGAATTAAAATATATTTTACACTTTAACAGTTTAAAATATTGCAGAAAGCGAACGTCATCGAAACATGCACGTGACTTATACAAAGTATTTTTAACACCTTTAAGAAAGTCTTTATACCGTCGTCTTTGTTTAATGTTCGTGTCACAAAAGTGACTCCGCATTTTTTTTAACAAACATAAAAACGAAGAAAAAAACTTCTTATGAAAAGTAAGTGAGTACAGAATAGCACGTTTATGGAATTTGTGTCACGTCTTTAGTCCAAAGAATAGATTGTCAATTCATTCCAACAGCTGGTGTCTTTTTGATTCCAAACGATAAGGAAATATTCTCCATCAATTTATGGATTTATAAAACTGGCAACAACAAAGAAAAGACTTATTGTTCATACCTTTAACCTATTCGCGTTGTATCTTCTCTTTTTTTTAATGTAGAGAATTGAATTGATTAATGTAGAGAAGTGACTTCAAGTATGCTAATAAATTAGTGCAGACGATATTTTAAGTTCTAAAATCAAGCTTTGAAGCTTACTTTCTCTGAATAAGCATACCATTTTTTTAAAAGATTCGGATTTCTATCGCCGTTAAAAAAAATTTGAAATATATAAAATTCAATTTCGCAGGAACGATTTGATCGATTTCGCTCACATTTTGTATTATGTAAAATTATATTCTTTTAAAATGATGTGAAAAATGCATACCTTACAATTCAAAATTTTTCCAACTATTATTAAATAAAATAATATAAAATAATAAATATTTACTAAAAGTTATTTTTTGCATGGAAATATTTTCAGACATACAAATTTTATAATTGTGTACAAGAAATTATTTAATTTTCAAAAATAATTCAGTTTTTGCTTAAAAAGCTCTCGAGACAGGGCGATATACGCAAGAAGTAAAAATTAATATAAAAGGGTTCGAACTATGGAGCACTCTCCTGACAAAATTGTGGGGACGATATTTTCCAGCATTGCTATGTTTCGGGGGTCAGAAATCCAGCCAAATTAGTCAAAAAAAAGGTAGTGTTGATAAGGTAAAGTACGTTTTTATATCGTCCTTAGAGAAATATCGTCTGCACTAATTAATTAGCATATTTAAAGAACAATTAAGATTAAGTGCTAGAACGTGAAAATCATTAAATCAAAAGTTATTTTGGGTCGTGGTCCGTTTATTTTTTTTTGTGTGCACTGTGCATATATAACCTACCTTTACCTAAAAAAGGGATGTTTTACAGGAAAAAAATTTCATGTTAAGGTATCAGTACACTGAACACATGCTTTCATAATTTGCAATGCAGTAGAAATATTATTCATTTTAATTTTAAAAAGAAGTGCACTGTTTTAATTATTCTAATTACTAATGTTTAAAATACGTTTTAAAGTTTCTTGAAACATGGATTTGTTTGATTAAAAACAACATGTAGAAAATAAACCTTTTTTAGATAAAAATGACCTCGTACTGAAAATGCTTTAATTATCTGTAGAAGTGTTACCTATATTTAACGAACGCAAAACATACAGGCTGATTCTAAAATCATAGGACGAACTTGTAAGAAGGTAGGGCAGATCATATGAATTAAGAATTGCATGGGAATCCATGGCCGGAAACGTCATCATACGCTGCTAGGATCGCTTTCCCCATTATGAATTGTTTCTACGTATGCCTTTGAACAGGTCCTTTTATTTATCTAAATTATCCTAGTTTTATATTTTCCAATAATTATTGTCGAAAATTGCACTTAAATTGGTTCAGTATTAGATTTGTAATCGTAATATAATGATTTAGCAACTCATTTGACAAGCTCGCCAAGTTATTAAATTACTATTAAACCGTTATACTTGAACGCAATTTTCGATAATAATTATTAAAAAACGAAAACTGAAGATGAAATTAAAATAACTTAATAAAGTGCATGTTCAAATGCATGCTTACAAACGGCGTTCCTAGCTGCGTAGGATGACTTTTCTGGTCATAGGTTCCTATTCAATTCTTCTTCCTTATTATGTGCCCTACCACCCCTCCAAGTTTGTCTCATGATTTTAGAAACCCCCTATATGTTTTGAAAAAAAAAACGCTATTTGTTTTGTAGTATTTGTTTTAATAGTTTTATTGTGTCCTACATGTTAAGGGGCTGTTCAAATGCACATTTTTTAAAAAAATCTATCATTTGTTACTTATTAATACACAACATTGTTGTATGTTATTATATACAACAAACTATTTTCAGATTGTAGCCTTTATTTATAAGTAATAAGAGTTTCAATTTGTGAACATCTACATGTATGCCAATATGTGAAGCACGTTGCAAAGTTACGAGTACTTTTGTCCCGCAATAAAAATTTTTAATGCTCTCTCAGCATCATAAAGTTCCTTCATTAATTTTTGTTTATTGTTATGAAACTGTTTTCCAATCTTCTTTGTGTCTTCTTGATTAACTCAATGCCTTTTTTAATTTATAAATTTTAGATTAAATATAATTAGAGTGTTTTTTTGAAAGAAAAGAAAAATATTTAGTAACAAATTTAGAATTTCACTCCTGTAATTTATACAAATACCATAACTACTGAACTCTATTTAAATGCGTATAAAAATTGCACTTTGTTAAAAAAAATTAAAAATTAAAACTGACTGTTCTTTTTTCCAATTTCAGCAACAAGAACTTGAATGAACCTGATATTGAGGTGAGACATTTATTGTCATTTTTTTAAAGAGTTTTTGAATAAATTAAAGATTAACAGATTTTTAACTTCCAATTTTAGAGTAATTAGTAAAAATATATCAATTTCGAAATTATTCAGATCTCATATTTAATTACTTGCATTAATCGGATACTTGCATCAACTAAGACCGGATAGGAGAAGCTAAGGACAAAGATCATGCATTTGTCGTTTCTTTTAAACTTACATTTAACTTTGAAACTAATATATTTTAAAGCTCTTAAATTCCTGAAAAAGTTGGAATTAAAGAGCTTAAGTTCAACCTAACTCAATTTCTACAACTTAAAAAAAAGCGGTCTTCCAAATATTTAATAACAAAATGTTATTAGCAGTTTTGCATTTTAATGTGGACTGATTTTAGAAAAATTTTTTATTTCCATCAAATGATCTTCAAATTTTAGAAATTATTGCATTTTTTTCTTTTTCTTCTATTCGCATTTAATGCCTGCTTAGGATTTAACTTTTTTCTTACTTTCATTTTTGCAATTTTTTGAATACTGTGCGGCAATCATGAATGTGAGAATTTGTGTTCTCCACAACTAGTAATTTTGACCCGAATCAGAGAACGATCGATCTCCAATTCAGAACCCCCAGAGGTTTAATTTGTTATGGGAGAATGGAGGACCTTATGGCCCGACAGATTTAACGAGCACCAGTCATTTACTATTCTGGGAGTCTTCGGCCGGTTCGGTTCGGACTCCCGTTCTCACGAACTTCAGTTCAGTGTCCCGCCAACCAGGCTATCCAGGTCCCCAAATTACGTTTTATATCCGGCATTTAAATTTGCAGCCTTTTTGCTAAAGCTAGTCTAGTTATGAATTTAGTTTTGGTGTTTATATGTTACTGTGATTGACCAAAATTGATGATTGTTGACTTCCACCGGTGAATGTTGACAACCACATAGTCGCTTTTCAAAATGTCCAAAATATATAATAGGTATACTTAAGTGCCACTGCCCGATATGCCCTACATCAATGTTTTTTTAAGTGCCACTGCCGAGTATGCATTTAACCGGTACTTCGACCACTGATGTTTTTCCTAATCTATCCTCCGCAAATATTTAAATATCGAATAAATATAATAATATCAACGAATAAATTAATATAAAATCGGATATAACAAACAATTTGGACATTCACCAAAGCGACTATGTGATTGTTGACATTCACCGGTGAAAGTGAACATTCTCTTAATTTCGATTATTCACGGGAACATATACATAAGTTGACAATGAACTAAATAAGCCGCATTATTGTTTTCTTCGAAATGAAAACTTAAAACAACTGCTATAAACGCTTAAAAAAAGTTTTTTTGGGAAACATCTTTCTTTGTTAAAGACATTAAGTTACTTTATTTCAATTTAAAAGCGTGATTGAAAATACTTCATACATGCTTATAAATGCAATATTTTATAAATCAATATGCAATACGTATGCGTAAATGTAATATCTTATAAATCCTTTCCGTAATTTTTTCACTTCATTGTCATTAAAATAGTTTATTTTTCAAAAATGCCATGTCTATTTCATTTAAATTGAAATACTTTATAAAGGCAGCCGAAAAATTAAATAAATTATGAATAATAGGTTGGATCTAATTATAATAAGAGGTTTCAAAACTTATCACTGCTTTAAACTCGCGAAACCCCTTTCAACTCTTCCACGGAACTTAACACCATTTGGGAACCGCTGCTATAGACCTACGAATCGACTCATAATTTCCAAAATGCGTCTAATTTCCAAAATGCGAATGTTCTATGCGTCTAACTCCTACTAGCATTCCACATTCAAAGTCTGCGAATCCTTGTCTTGCAGTCATAATTACATCAGAGACATTCTCAGATGATTAACTTGAACTCAAATTAAAAGTCCTGTCAGAGCCCACAAACATATACATTTTGTACGCGATACTACTGGTATCTGTATGTTTGCATATAGCTATGGTACATTTTTAGATTTTTAATCCCTTTTCTTATTTTTTGAGATATTGGACAGTTCTTATACTTTCTGAACACCCAGTACAATACTAAACTTAGTGCAAGATAATGTGTTTTCTCGTCTAGGAAAAATTTGCCCGCCTCTCTCTCGCTTTCAAGACTGATAAGTTCACCCTCGGCAAGAGATTAGACTTACAACTTCGCCAGAGAGACATTGCTGAGAAAAATATAGATAGTGAGCTGAAAGCGTTGAGAGAATCCTTAAATGTGAGTATGGCTTTTTATTATTGCTGAAGTAATATACGATATGTGTAAAATGCAGGAATCACAAAATGTAGAAAATAAACCACAAAATGACTTTGATGCTTTTCATTTAAAAATATTTTTTTTTTACATGAGCGCAAAAATAATATTGACTAGAAGCAGTTATGCGTACATCTGAATTTTATTTTTATTTTATAACCGTCGTTGAACAGCCGACCCAATTTCATGGGTTTACGACTACTTACGTTCAACTCCGTAGCCTTGTAATTTTGAACCAATCCAGAAGACAAAGAAACTCCTGGATCAGTACCCCCAGAGGTATTGATTTGTTGTGGGAACATGGAGGACTTTGAGACTCGACAGATTTAACGTGCATCAGTCACCATTTACTACACGGGGAGTCTTCGGCCGGCGAGGATCGAACCCACGACCTCTTGGATATGGGCCCAGCGCCCTACCGACCAGGCTATCCCGGCCCCGTACATCTTAATTGTAATTTATTTCCATAACTATCTCTCTATCTTAAAGACAAATCACTCGGGGAGATTTCCGTATCGTGATCTATGTCAGAATAATCGCCAAGTCTTGGCCACTTCCGGGCAGCTGCTGGCAAAAAAACTTTTTAAAAAAAATCACGGAAAAGGACCAACTTGAAGGATATAACTCGTTTCCCATTTAAAATCAATTTTGCTCCTTGTTGATTTTAGTTGGCGTGGCAGATCACGATGTGGAAATATCCCCCATAACTCTTCTAATTATAGACAAACTTAAGAAATTTCTCGAGAGGTTTTACTCGAAATTCTTGTAAAGGACGTTTTCATTTGTTGACATTTCGAAAAATTCTGGAAGCATTCTCAGCCGTAAAATATAAAACTGAAAGAATTAGCTTAGAGCTTACATTGAGAGAGAAACTCTAGGGTTTAAAACGAAAGCTAACAAATTAAAAATACTTAAGTGAGTAATGGGTACAACAAAAGAGGTAGAGGCAGAACGTGTGTGATTATCACCATCACAATATGTAGTTTTTTTAAATTGGGTGTTTTGTATAAGCCACCTCTTATATGTATATTTTTAGAATCCTTGAAATAAAGATAACTATGCATCATGAAAAATCGCAAATAAATGCTAAAGGGAGAAGTTTTCAAACGCTGAACAGTCACTGTTGAGGTTGATGAAGAACAAAGGACGGATGGAACTTAAATGGTCCCAAAAGAGGATAGGGTTCACTTTGTGCTTTGTAGACTAAAGTAAAAGACAACGTGAATGAAGCACGAATTAAGTGCAAAAGTGAACAATAGTATGGTTTCTATAAATAAGTACCTCTTTTAGTGTCAAAATACCAAATATTTCTCTATCGTATAGTGTATAGCATTTGTGAATTGGTGTCTAAACACCAAATATTTCTCTATCGTATAGTGTATAGCATTTGTGAATTGGTGTCTAAACACCAAATATTTCTCAATCGAACTNGGATAGGGTTTACTTTGTGCTATGCCGATTAAAGCAAAAGACAACGTGAATGAAGCACGAATTAAGTGCAAAAGTGAACAATAGTATGGTTTCTATAAATAATAAGTACCACTGTCAGTGTCAAAATACCAAATGTTTCTCTATTCTACTGTGTATAGCATTTGTGAATCGGTGCCTAAACACCAAATGTTTCTCTATCATACAGTGTATAGCATTTGTGAATCGGTGCCTAAACACCAAATGTTTCTCTATCGTACAGTGTATAGCATTTGTGAATAGGTGTCTAAACACCAAATGTTTCACAATACAACTGTGTCTAATATTTGTGAATCGGTGTTTAAACACCAAATGTTATTCTATCGTACAGTGTAAAGCATTTATGAACCGGTGTCTAAACTCCAAATATTTTCCAATCCTACAGTGTCTAACATTTGTGAATCGGTATAAACACCAAATGTTTCTATATTCTACAGTGTCTAAAGTTTATTAAGAGTATTTTCCGAAGTCTCTGTAAGCACATGTAATAACGCTTCTTAGCGAAAAGGATCCTATTTTCATAACTGCTGTGTAAAACAGCTATTTATGACTATTAGGTTAGGTTTTATATATCTTTATCCATTGCCCTCTATGACAATTACAAAAATAGCACAATATGACTAATTGCAAATTTTTTTTTCTAAAATGTTTGTAAAATTTTTTTTACACTTAAAAATTTTCAAAAGCTTATAAAAGTATGCAAATTAAAAAATTTTCAGTGATTTTAATAGTTTTCACATGATGAAAAAATCTCACCAAATACGCTAGTTTGAAATCGTAAGTGAAATAGATAGCGCATCACTCTTTTTCACTTATGAGGAGCAAAATAGATAGCTCCACATTCTTCTTATTTATGATATGCAAAATAAATTCAAAATTTTTTATTAAGTAATTCATTTACAGGCCCTGAATCAACTTTGTACAGAGTCTGATATGAGGGATTTGATAACTAAAACTCAACAGCATGTTGATATTGTACAGCAAGCCACTATGCGCATGTCTAGTCGAGCAGAAACATATGGAGCTATTCAACAGGTAATTACTTTACACATATACTTTGAAGAACATATATATAATGAAGTTTTTTTAATCAAACAATGAAGTTTTTTTAATCAAGTAATGATTTTTTTAAATCAAGTAATGAATTTATTTTTTGATCAAGCAATGAAGTATTTTTAATCAAGTAATGAAGTTTTTTAATGAAATAATAATTTGAAGAATACCTAGCTAATGTGAAAAATGAAACAGTTTTTTTAATGGATCACCCTAGTTAATATGCATATTAGCTAGATAATCTGCAGAATTACTGATTTTTCAATTTACTAACATAATAACTGACTAGAGCAAAATATCTCTTTTTATTAAAAAGCTACACTTCAGGTTTGGTCGTTTAACTTAACGTTACGTTTTGTTTTTCTGTTCAAAAACTTAAAGTTATTATAAAAAAAATTAGAAACTTGAAATTGTGAAGGCTTGTAGAAAATGTACAGGGAATACAATGGAATTAAAATATTAACATTCAATCAGGAGTTAATTTCTGTTAAAGCTGTAGTAAAAAATACAATGAGAGCCGCATTTCCGGCCACAGAAATGCAACGAGTTATTTGAAATGCTAAAATGGTTATTTTTATTTATGAACTTAAACTCTACCTTTTTTTGAAATTCCACTTTATTTGAAAGTTTATGCAATTTTAATTATTTTTTGTGATTTTTCTTTTTCTTCTTTACGTTACATTTTGTTTTGTTGCGCAAAACTATAAGACGTAGAAGCTTGAAATTGCGAATTTGTGTAGAAAATGTACAAGTTCTTTGGTGGAATATTATAATTTAAGATTCAATTATTATTTCCGAAATTATAAATTGTTTAACGTGTTGTAAAAACACCATGTGTACCGATCTACTGTCTGCTGAAATGTAACTATAACGATGAAATTCGAAGTGCCGAAAGGGTCGTTTTCAATTTTAAACTGAACGTGTTTTTTTTAATTCCAATTTTTTTTAAAAAAATTAGAAAGCCACGCTTACCAACACTTCTAATTAATCCTCATTCATCATTGTTTATTTCTTCTTAAATGTTAATATTTTCCACCAAAATACCGAACATTTTTTTTTCTTCTTCAAAATAGACAATTATTGTAGCTTTGTGTAAAAACATTTTGTTAATGTGTAATTGTAACGAAATAGTCGATTACCTAGATTTGAAAAATAATGATCTTATACCGTCTAAAAATATCTATAGTAATATAATAATATACTTTAAATATGCATTATATATATGCTATACTTTAAATATACGTTTTATATACGTTAATCTATACTTTAAATGTACGTTTTTGTGCAAATGTGTGCAGAATATTTACGATGATAAAAAGAATTTTCTAACAATGGTAAAATTTTATTTCTAACTTTAAATTATTTTCCTAGCATCAAGTTCTTTAACGTTAAAAATTTTTAAATTATAATGAACCCAACCTTCTTTATGAAATTTATTTAAAAATCATTATTAATTCATTCTAAAATATTTTACGCGATCTATACATTTATTTGTTAAAAAATTTAATTTCCTGATAATAATAGTAGTAGATTTAAAGTTTTCGTGTAGTATATTTAAAGTGAGTGATCATGACCTTTGACATTCGTGTCGTGATTTTGTGTCCTTTGTCTTTGACATTGATTATCCCTGCCTACCCCATTTACTCACTCTTTGCACGCCACTGCTTATTACAATTATCTACAGATACGTCTTTTTTTCCCCTTTTAAGGAACAAAGGATGAATTGCGCCTTCGAGACCATGCTGAACTATGTTGAGCACCTGAAGTTGCTGTACGACAAGGAGCACTTAGAGCTTGAAGAATACAGACGACTCCTTGCAGAGCACAACCTCCTACCTGCTGATGAGAAATCTCTCCTTGAGGATGATGCTAAGAGAGTCCTACCACCCCGCTCTCAGTCTCTATCTTGCACACCCAGGCCTGTGAGTATATATACCCTTGTCTTCAGAGTTTGGTTCAAAATAAATAGGACATTCTATCCTCAGTCCAACTCTGTGCTTCGGTTTGTTCACTTCAAGTGAAAATATAGCTTTGTAACTAATCCTAATATGTTTTTTATTCATAGTTACAAAAATATAGTATACTGACTAAATATTTCTATTTTAATGGTAACGCAATGAAACCTTCTTAGTAAAAACAGCCAGGGCTTATCGGTATTCGTGGTTCTGATAGGTAATCAATTCGTCAGCAGACATTCTATCTGGTCTCATTGATGATTATGATAGATAATCAATTCTTCAGTACACATTCTATTTATAATCATAGATCATTCTGATTGATAACCAATTATTTCATAGACATTCTATCTATCCTCAGTGATGATTCTGATAGATAACCAATTCTTCAGTACACATTCTATCCTCATTATTGATTCTAATAGATAATCAACTCGTCATCAGATATTCTATCTATTCTCTTTGATGATTCTGATAGATAATCAATTCGACAGTAGGAGCTCTTATGATTAGGATGATTATGGTAGATTTAACAATTCGTCAGTAGACATTCTATTTATCATCATTGATGATTCTGATTGATAACCAATTCTTCCGCAGAAATTCTATGTATCTTTATTGATGATTCTGATCAATAATCAGTTCATCAGCAGACTTTCCTTTTATTCTGATTTGTGATTCTGATAGGTAATCAATTCATCAGCAAATAATTAATACTCAATTCCTGAACAGCTTTTTATGCCTTCATTGATGAATCTGTTGAATTGAGATCTTTCAGCAATTCTGTTTAATGTTCCCTGGAGATAGATTTTACGAATCCTGTTACCTGTTGTTACTGAATCCTGTTGATTTACGTACAGTTTACGAATCCTTTAAGTAACCTTTACAAAATTTCAATAATCAAAACTCGGAAGCCTCGGTCGTTAAAAAAAATTTTTGGATCGTTTAGCACGAATATTTTACAAAATTTCAATTTTGTTTTAAAGTGTAAATACCATAAAGATATTCTTCATTCTTACAAAATTTAATACGTTATAATAATAATAAGGAAAAAAAATTTCCCTAATGTGAAATTATACAACCCGAAAATAAAACTATCTCTTATGCTGTGTTCAAAATTCAATAAAATATCTTATCATTCGGGTAATAAACGAAATTTTTATTTTTTATGTGTTAAATTTTTTTTTCCCCCTCTTAACCAAATTGTATGTTTGAGCCTGAAAATGTTTTTAAGTCCTAAAATATTTTGGTACTGTGAAAATAAACTACTCATTGCATTATCTTTCCTGAATGGTGTATGTTATGTAAATGGAATTACAACATTATATTAATGTGTTTTACTATTTTGTGTATAACAGCTTGCATCTCATTATCTTCTTAACTAGATCTTAAGTAAGAATCACCCAGAAGCAAGTGCGTTTCCAGTCCCTGCCGCGCATTCCTAAAAATAAATCCGTTAAAAAGAAAACAGATTTGGAAAATCTTTTATCCATTCGAAAAATCTATTGAAGCAAAACAGAAGGAAACAGAAATACAGTTAAACATGTGTAAGACTTACAATTTCAACTTACAGTGTAAGTTGACCATTTCTAGAGCAATAGCTTCAGTGATCAACTCGCACAAATGGTCTACTTATTGAAGGGAATAAATCATTATTTTTTTACCTACCATGTTATTTCTGTTGATTGTGTTATCCATACAATGCTTTAGATATTACCAACTTAAATGAACATTCAATTTTTTAACGGAATTATGATTTTGAAATTTAAATGGAAAGTACTTCATGTATTTTAAGAAATGCGATTAATTGCAAAATGGAATACAACTTGTTACATAAATTTGGTATTAATTTTATTAGTTTAGAAAATCGATATGCATGTTGAGTTAATTATGCATGCCAGATATTTATTATAAACAATTATTTAAAATATCAGTACCCAAGAACTTATGCAATTAGAAAACATAACATTATATTCATTTCAACGTTCTAAAATTATTTGTGTTCTACTTATTTTTTATAGAATCCCTCAGAAAATTCTTATATTCACTCGCAAAATTCCTATGCTCGCAAAGGAGCTCTTAATATTACTTCAATAATTAAGCGAAATCTTGACAAATGGTATAGAAAATCTTTTGAAATTTTTTTTCACCCAATTTCAGAGTTTAGTAAAATCCCTAAACAAAATTAGACTTATTTCAGTGGCCGACTTTGCAGATATTATTATAACATAGGATACATTCGGTTTTTGAAAATAGAGGTCAACTCAAAAAGATAGTCAAATTACTTGGGTTGTCAACTTATCACGTTACACTGAATTCAGTTTTTTCAGACATCGATGATTTTATTCACTGAATTTCGAAACTAAATACGAATTTCGTTAATAGATGGAGCTGCCAACTGAGAACAACGATGAAACATAATCGAAATTATCACTCAATTGCGACAACAACAAGGCAGAGTTTATTGAAAAAATTTAAAAATTTTCAGCGAAAATTTCGATTGGAGTGGTCTGACGTGTAGAAGAAAAAAATTTTATAGTGACTCCATCTGTTACTGAACTTCGTCTCTAACTTCGAGAATCGGTGACAGTGAAAACTTTGTTTCCTAAGCAAAATGTTCCCCCTTTCGTTTTTCTTTAATCGATTTTTCAAAACTTCGGCATACTCATTAAGTTACATAATATCTAATTTTAAATATAACCTGTTCAAAAATAAATCAAAGCAAGTAAAAAAAGGGACTTGAGACTGTATTTGCTTCAAATTTGAGTCAAAATATGACTGCTACTTTAATGCCTGAGTATTACTGTGTATTTGTGCATATATCCTTGTGATTTTTGTCTCTGTCTTATTCCCTTTTATATAAATGTTTACTAATAAGTCTTATCATTTTCTAACAAATAGTGGTGGTGAACTTTTTTATAATTAGCATTGGTGATGGTACTAAACTTATTGCACATTTTAAATTTTCAATGTGTTAATGATTCATTTACGTTTTTTGTATTTTGTTGCCTTTATAAATGTATTGGTGACGGTGCTTTATCAACTAACTATTTTGCTTTTATTTGAAGCTAACCTGTTTTAATCATTCCTCTACTAACAATTACTGAAGGTAAGTGCTATTTATATACTAATATTAACTTATTATTTTTAGTTGAAACTATTATTTTCATTTTTCTCATATTTTATAACCGTCGTTGAGCAGCTGACCAAATTTTTTGTGTTTACGACTAATAATATTCAACTCTGTCGCCTAGTAATTTTAAACCCAATCCTGAACAAAGGGGAACCCCTCTATCAAGTATTCTGAGAAATTTGACTTTGCTCGGGACCTTTTGATGACACTAACCTTTATTTGCGTTACATCGAGAAGAAAACTACGAAAACCTCCCATGGTTGGTGTGACGGCATGGGGACTCTAACCCATGATCCGTCTACTACTGATGATATTTTACGCCAACACTGTGGTCGGTGTGAGCCGGGTGAGGAATGCGTATCGACCAGCCATCGCTGGGATTCGAAACCGGGTCTCCTCATTGGAAGTCGAACGCTATATCTCTTAAGCCACCACGGCTCTAGCATGTACATTTACGTTTTCATGCTTATGAGAGCTCGTGCGCTTGGTATTTCAATTCTCTGTTGCCAATGCGAAAAAGAAATTAAGACTTTCTTTCTCGCCGCGTAAGAGAAATATGTAACGTTCGTGCTAAAATCAAATTCCAGGTTTCTCGGTAAATTAATGCGCCAATTTTCTAGATGGAATTGACTGGCGATTGGACAAAGAATTTTTTTAAATAGACATGAATTTGTTGGAATTTAAGGGCTCTCTTTCCTAGATATTTACTCCAGATGACTTTTTAAAGCATAGGAAAATTATTCTTGACTTATCGTGTTATTAAATTGAAAATTTTTTAAAAAAGTGGATTTTTTTTCTATTATTTAAGGTGTTTTGGTGGTTTCGATTTCGTCATGAAAGCGTCTATCTGCAACTTTTTTTATGCAACTTTTTTTTTTAGCACAAACATTTAAATGCAGGCATTATTTGAAAAATATCGCAATTAACTTTTATAGTATAATTTTCTTCAAAGCCAAAATTTGATTAAAAAAAATTTTTTTTTAAATATACTATGATGGCTCAGCCAAATATGTTCTTTCACATAGTTGCTCAAAAAATTAAGAAATCAAAATTGTTGTTTAACTACATAATTTTCATAAACATAATTTTTTAAAAAAACAACATAATTTTCTAGATTTTTATGTATTAAAAAGATTTATATTGTCCGAAAAAATATAAATTATTTGCCAATATTCAAGTGCCAGAATGAGTTTAAGCAAATTGTAACTTTTTAGGTTTTTTAGAAGTTAAATAATCTTGCTCACTAGGTGAAAAAAATGTGAGTTAAGAAACACAGACTTTAAGACAAATCTTTGAAAAAATAACTCAAACAAAATACATGAGTTTGAAGACTGTTCGAGTTTAAAATATGAGTGTGGTTTTATTATACTTAACCGAGGTATAACACATAATTTTTTTCAAAAAATGAAAAATTTCGTTAGGAAAACACTCTAAACCCCTTAAAACTCACAAATGATTTGGGGAAAAAAACCTTTTAGTCATAAAATGTCTTAAAATATTGTTAAAATTAAAATTCTTTAATTAAAAATAAATCCTTAAGTCATTGATTAAAAACTTCTTCCGCTTCAAAAAAATACAAATTGGAAATAAACAATTTACATGTTTCAAGCTCTCAAAAATAGGCTCCCATTTTCAAGACTTACCAGAAGTGAATGAGTAGAAACAAATGTTACTCAAAATTGCGAACGAAAAATGAAGAAATAAAGGTGATAAATAAAGCTAGAAAAACCACAATAGCCGAGAGAAAAAAAAGATTAAAATCGGAACAAAAAAAAAACCCCACATTGGGCGAAAAGGGGAAATCAGAGTGAAATCCATTTCACACGCTGTGGAGAAGTGGTGAGGAGCTAATGTTAAGGAATCGACATTCATATGAATAAGGCAAGATTCCAGGGCATCGAGATAAGCCGAATTTACTGGAGTAGAAATAATTTTGGTACTGTAGAAATTGAATTTATGCCCAAGACTCCAAACAACTGAAGATTTCTAGTATTCTTGATAATGGACGTATCTTTCATGTTTCTTAAGTGTAGATTTCAGAGCGCTTTTAGTTTGTCCGATATAGCCAAGATGATACAAACAAGGAATGTGGTAAATGCTCCGCAATTATCACAACTAATAGGATCTTTAAGAGAACTTTTATTTTGTTAACATGTCTAAAAATAACTTTAAACCCAAAACGGGAGGTAAAAAACGGTTAAGTAACAAGTTGTCTGGAAGAATTAGAGGAAGTGGAGCGGTTGTTGCCCCCATTATATCCCTCCCTCCTGATTTGCCCCTCTCTGCTACTGTGGTTTTTCTTGTTCTTCTTTTCACCTTTTTTCTCTCTCGGTTGTTGTGGTTCTATCTAGTTTCGTTTCTCGCCTTTATTTTTCCCTTTTTCGCTTGCAATTTTACGTTTTAAATTCAAAATCACTTTAGTTTCTTCCTATTCACCTCTGGCAAGTCTTGAAAATGGGCATCTATTTTTTAACGCTTGAAACATGTCTACTGTTACTTCAAATTTGTATATTTTTGAAGGGGATGAAGCTTTTAATCGAGCAATATCTTACAGCACCAGTTTCTTGGAATTAGGGAGATTTCGCAAATTTACGTAAGCTTACTTACTTAAATACAGAAATTCTCTAGAAGTGCTCATGCGTCAGTTCTGGAGAAATGCGCATGCGTGAGAAATACCAAACTTATGTAAGTGAAAATAAAAAGTTTTGCAAAAATCCATAAGTTAAAAACGCTAACGTAGTGGAATATAAATTTAACTTAGACCACAAAATCATTGACTGAATTTGATTAATTCAGCTCTTAAGAATGCAAGTTAATAATATTATTATTAATATTTAAAAAAAATATTATTTAACTTTTCTTGATTATTTAACTTCTTTTAACTAAATTATATAGTTAAAATAAATATAATTTATAATTTTAAAATAACGAAAATATATTTAGTTTCTTATGGAACTAGTGCACTTAGGCAACCATAATATTGAACAAAACAAAAACAATAAAATAATTTTTTTAATTGAATGTACCAATTGTTGTAAATCACTCAATTCATTTCTAAATTTCATCAATACAATTCTTTAAATTCACATATGCTATGATCTCATATTTTCTCAACGCTTTTTGTAAAGGAAGGAAAAGTAAATCACAGACGCTTTAGAATTGATATTCGTTTAATTTTATGTGTTAACTCAAAATTTCATCCGATCATCCTCTTCATCAACGTCGCCGCCATTTTTATTTACATTTGTAAACGTCATCACATAGAATTGAAACGTCATGCAAAGCAAAAGTTCTGATTGGTCCTAGAGTGAGTTGCTCTTATTTATAGACAATTTTTCTCTCAAGGGGGAGAAACAGTTGCTGATATTTCGAGCAACTGTGATTTCTACTGCACACGAGTATTGTCGAGGGATTTTTTGAGAAAGTGGAGGATATAATTGCCTTTACGGTTAACTTTCCGGTTTCGTTGCCTATAATACCCATCACGTGAAAGTGCTAAATCTCCCTATTCATTTAAATCCTTAAGTCGTCCAAATGTCTGTCTGGTGTTAATTATTAATGTAGTGTTGTTTTGACAGGAAATGCTGAGGAGAGGCAGTCTTGGTACTTTTATCCGACCTCCTGCTGATAATGACAAATTCGTCAATCGAGAGAACAGTCAAATTAATCTTGCCTCTTGGACACTCAACACTGTGAGACAGAAACTGGTACAGTTACCCATCAAATGAGTTGGTTATACGGAATGGGATTCTTCTTTCATTTTGTTCTTCTTTCATATGCTGACACAAAACTATTTTTATAAAGAAAAATATCTAAATAATTATCGAATAAAAACGAATTATATTCAGAATATTAACACGATTTTCCCACTCTCCACATTTTCCCCTCTATTTTCCTGCGTTACGGCAAATTTTGCTTTTTCCCCGTCACCAATTTTTTCCAATTACCTACTGATTACCGCGAGGGAAAAAAGCAAGATATACGAAATTACGGTTACCGAGAGGGGAAAAGTTTGAAGAGTGAAAAAATCGTGTTACCTAAAGGGTATTGTCCTGATGATGGTAGGCTGAAAAAAAGTAAAATTTCATTCAAAAAAAATTTCAAAATTGTTTTTTTTTTCTTCCTTTTTATTGTAAGCGATCAAAATTAGATTTACGACATTTTTTACCTCTGAGCATTCATTTTTTTATCATTCAATATTTTTCATTAAATTTTTTTTTTTTGTTAAATGAAATAAAAACAAACAAAAATTGTGACTGCATAAAACTTTGTTATCATGATAATGAAGGGAAAAAAACTTTAATGCTCTGGTTTTTTTTTTCTTTTCTTTTCTTTCCCCGTGGATATTAAGTTGAGTTCAGTTATTTATTGTGAGTATTATTTATGAATTTTATTGTTGGTTTTTCATTTAAAAATTTTTTAATACTTGTTATTTGAAATAAATAACCCATTTATTGGTCTTTAAGAGAAAAATTTATCTCATATAATTGATTTTTGCAGGAATTATTTTTAAAAGTGCCACCACCACTATTTGTTAGCGTAAATCAGTGTAATCAAAATTGTAATGACTGTTATCTGTATTTAAAATGTGAATGTATGTTATCTTGTATTGCATGCTAGCATGTCTGGAAAACTCTAAGTAAAATACTAGGTGATTAACAGAATTTCAGGTATGTAAGATATGTGGTATTTATTGTTGTTATTGTGTGCTAATATCTCTCTATATTTTGGTAGCTGTTTTTGGTGTTCAACTTCGCTTTACCTTTTGTTTTGCTGCTCAAAAACTATGAAACTTAGAAATTTGAAAATTATGAAGGCGTGCCGAAAAATTTGCCGAGAGTGCCATGAAATAAAATAAAAAATATTAACACTCAATTAGTAGATCAAGAATAGTTCGAACTGTTAAATTTCTATTTAAATAATCTGTATAAAATAAATAAAATCTTTATTAAATATATAATATAAATAAGGAATAAGATTATTAAAAACTTCATTCGATTCAAAAATATATAAATAGGAAGTAACAGTTGGCATGTTACAAGCACTCAAAAACAGGAGCCCATTTTCATAACTTTCCAGACGCGCATGAGAAGAAACAAAAGTGTTTTGACATTTAAAACGTAAAGTGGCCAGCGAAAAAAGGAAAAATAAAGAGGAGAAACAAAACTAAAAAAAGCACTGTGGCTGAGCGTGAAGAAAAAATTATGAAAAACTGGAAAAGGAAAACCATAGTGGCGGACAAATCAGAGTAAAATGCATTTCCACGCGCTATGGAAAGATGGCGTGGCAACAATGACTTTAACATTAGAATCAGCTTTCATATGATTAAAATAAGATTCTAGGGTATCAATATGAGCTGATGTAACTGGGGTGTAGTACAAAAATGCTCAGTGGACATCTTCGGTTGTTACCTCATCAAATTTGTTTGAAAACTATAATGTAATAACATCTATAAATGTTATTTTAAAAAAAGATTGTACAGAAAAATTGTTTCTGTTCACACCAATAGATCTAAATATATCTTAATTGATAATAATATTTGGACGTGGGAAGTGAAGGCACAAGCGTAAGCAAACAGAATTCCTTTTAGTATATTCACCGAAGAGCCATTACATTATGACCACCCTCCATCTACAACAATGGGCTCGCCCTGGTTTTCAAATGATATT